TCTGTGTGTGTGGGGGTGAGTGTATGGGTGTGTGTGGGTGTGTGTGTGTGTGTGTGTGTGTGTGTGTATGTGGTGGGGGTGGCAGTGTGTGTGGCTGTGTGTGTGTAGGGTATGTGTGGCTGTGGGTAGGTGTGTGGGGGTTGTCTGTGTGTATGGGGTTGAGTGTATGGGTGTATGGGGTTGTGTGTGTGTATGAGGTGTGTGGGGATTGTGTGTGTGTGTGTGTGTGTGTGTGTGTATGGGCTCTGTGTATGGGTGGGTGTGGGGGTGGCCACAGGGAAGCCCCTGGGACTTGGAAGGAAGAGCAGCAGCCGTGACTGCACATGTGGGAAGGTGAAGGAGTAACGCAGCCCAGGGAAGCGGGGGCAGGACCTCGTCCAGGAGCACCTCCCCGGGAGGAGGGGCTGGGCGAGCGCCAGTCCCCATGGCTTCCGTCTCAGGCATTTTAAGGGGGGTACACATGCCGTCTGCCACGCAGGGGCACCGTGAGGACAAACCAGCTGGCCTCCCAGGGCCGCAGAAAGGGTGGAGGCTGAGGTGCCTCGGGCCCTGCATCCGACAGGCCCCTTGGCAGAGCCGGCCGCAGAGCCAGGTCTCCAGCGCGGGACCCACCGAGAGGGCTGCCTCCTCAGAGGACTCTGCACAAGGGCGCCAAGGAAGGAAGGACCAAAAGGCCCCCTTACCTGAGTCCACTTCTTGTTGCGGCTCTGCATCTGAACTGCAGCGATGGAGGCAAAAACCTCGTCTGCGGGCAGGTCCTCGGGCAGCCGGGTGAGGAACTGGGCGACGTGGATGAAGTCCATCCTGGTCAGGATGTCCTCGAACAGCCTCAGGATGCCCAGGGCCGTGCGGAACAGGAACTCCTCCCCATCTCGGCAGAACACGTCCCAGATGCGGCAGGCCAGGTCGAGGGGCAGAGACTTACTGTACAAGGTAAAGATCCTGCAGAGAGCGCAGCGCTTCAGGGGGCTGGCAGACAAGGCACCCTGAGTCGGCTGTGCTCCACTCCACACTCCCCAGTCTGACTGTCATCTTAGACACAAACACGGGGCCGGGTGCGGGGCACGAGGCCTGCGCTCATTCCGAAGGCCAATGTGAAAAGGCTTTCACACGGAATCTCGAACAAGCACAGCTCCTCATCACTGCTACTGTCACTTCATGCAGCAAATATTTACCCAGCGCTATGAGCTTCGCTGCTGGCAGGCGCTGCACATGAGGTTACTAAGGCAGAGAGAGCTGTCTGGTGAGGGGCTGAGAACAGCCAACAGAAATGCACCACTCCGCGTCCACGTGCATGTGAAGAGGACTATACGCTTTCCTCCCAGTAGGGGTCAGTAAAGGAACAAAAGAAATTTTTTCAAATAAATTTGACTGCAGATTACAAATTCTGATCTTAACCATGCAAACCATCAGATGAAGAAATGAAATACGAGTATGTCTTCCCTTAAAGAACCGTGAATGCCACGTCCTGGCCAGTGTGGCTGGTGGCCGGGCGGCAGCCTGTGCACCCAAGGCCGCTGAGAGGTCCCGGTGCCCTGTCTCCAGTCTCTAGCTGGAGAACATTCTCAATTCCACCTGGGGGACGTGATAGTTTTTCAGAAAATGAGACAGAATGGACCCAATCCGCAGTCCTACCTCTTCCTGCCCATTCACTCACAGAGATCAAGCCCTCGCATCTTAACAGCAGAGTCTCCAGTGAAGTGATCAGAAAATAAGGGCAGCAATAAGAGGGAGAGTGACAACAGGTATTTCTTCAACAGAACTTTGAGTTCAGATGCGTGTGGCCTCCACTAACGACTTATTCTGAACTTTACAGAATGAAGCCAACATGCGAACAATCAAGAAAGCTGTGGTCAGAGCCGCGCCTGTGCTCAGGCCTCACCCAGGCGGTTCCGTTCTCCGTGAGCTAGCGCCTGAGCTCTGAGCCCTCCTGTGGGGGCGGGCCAGCCTGTCGCCAGGCTGGCTGAAGACTGCTTCTGCTAGTCACTGTCCTTTGGTGATGAGGATGCATTGTAGCATCGGACAAACACCATTCCCTGTCCCCGGGGGGCGGGGGGATGTGTGGATTTAACTGCGAGGAGGGGGAGGCAGGGACAGCCAGTCTGATGTGTATGTGTGTGAGAGCGTGCATAGACACACACCTGTTAACAGGATGGTCAGGGAAGAACGCATCACTGACAAGTGACATTTGCATAAAGCCCTGAAGAGGAAGCCAGGAGCCAAGAGAAGGGTTGGAAAGCACCCAGGTTCCCAAGCTCTGAGGCAGGAGCAGACCTGGCAAATCCCAGGAAGCCCCAGGCAGAAGCCAAAGGCAGCGAAGGGGAGAACACACGGAGAAGCCGAGGCTGGGCTGGGGCAGGGGGGCGGCCACGCTTTACTCTACAGGATGGGGAACCGGTGGAGGCCTGTCCAGAGGAGGGCCATCCACTGTGCGGGGAGGCGCGTGTTGGGGACGCAGGTCCCGGCAGCCACTGAAACCAGGCCTGGTCAGAGCAGCTGGCAGCAGCGGGGTGGCCCAAAGTCAAGAGAATCTGGACAGACCCTGCAGTGAATTTTCCCACAGAAAATGCAGCGGGACCCAGGGGCGCTGAGCCTCCAGTTTCTCATCTGTGAAGCAAACCTGGCTCTCGGTGCTTCTGATCTCAGCTGGGGGCCCTGCGAGCCCTCACCGGCTGGGCCGGGAGAGCAGGCGACCGCGCCTGGCCATCTCTTGCATTCCCACAAATCTCTCGGGCACCACCACTTTCCCTGCTCCACTCCCTTCTCCACCCACTTTGCAGCCTCGGCTCAAACTGTGGTCTTTCTCCCTTAACCTGCCTCTGCCTACAGGCTTCCCTGTCTCCCACGAAACCTAACACTCACTTCTGGGGATAACCCACCTTCATCTTCGCCCAATCAAAAGCCTTCCACACCCTCTTGCCCCTGCAATGCTGCCCAAGCGCCTCAGCGTGGCATCCAGCACACACTGGACCTGACCTCTCACCTGCCACCCTCCACCCTTCCCTCAGGCCCGGCGTCGCCAGGCCACCTGCTGGAGCCCTGCTAGCTCTGCACCACCACGTGCCCCTATCAGGCCATGGCTGGGGCTCATGTTTGCTGCCCCTGTGCACTCTGACCCTCAAGCTGGGTCCAGGGTCGCTGTCCTCCGCCTGCTTCAGAGACACACTTCATGTGCAGCACAGCATCCACGGGCATGTCTTCCTCTAGGAAAGGCTCTGCAGGCAAGCTCCGTGTCCTGCACACCACCGCCGTCCAGGTCCCAGCAGAGCCCGGCACAGCCAGACCTGGTGCTCAGTGGCACTGTTTTGTCTTCCGGATGGAAAGTATAATGTCAGTCACCGGTGACTGACAGGTCGCTTAACGTGTTAATAATGGGTAAATGGCGCTTGGAAAGCAAACAGGTCCAAGACACCACTTGTCCCCTGAAGGAGTTCAGAGGGACCAGGTAGGGTCACAGAAAATAAGAGTAACAAGGAAGAGTGAATGGTGCCAGCAGAGGACTGGGGCTGGAGCTGGGAAAACAGAGGCAGCGGCGTGGGCAGCTGAGTCCTGAAAGGAGCTGGCCGTGAGGACAGTGGAACATGGGGCAGGAGGTGTGAAAACAAAAATGCGGACTTACCAATCGATTAGGTAGATGTCTGGAGTTAAGCTGTTTTTCTTGAAATGAGTAAATAATTTCGGCAAATTTTCTTCAAAGAATACCTCAAATGCGGCAAAATAAGTCAACATCTGGGGAGATAACGTGAAATACACCAGTAAACTAATTATCAGCACACGTTTCCAACCTACAAAACAAGCCAACATGCTTACACCACTGGAATCCAACAGTCACCTCCTGTAATCGCCAGTGACACGTTCTGACGGGTGAGGCGAGGTGCACACAGGCCGTTCTAGCAGCGCGCCTCGCCTCACCGCGCCCGTCTCACTGCGCCCCAGGCCTGTGGCGTCCCCCGTGCCCAGCAAGCCTACCCCACGGGCTCCGATGCTGGTGAGACCTTTCCCAGTAACGTGTCCTTTAACAAGGCGTGCCCACTGTCTCAGACACAGTCTCCTGCACCGGAACCGGCTGCAGCGCCGCGTGAACAACTGTGTGCACCGGGAAAGCAGAAACCCAGGGCCGCCTGCTGAGATGCCGCTTCCTGTGGTGTCGGGAACTGAACCGAGACACCTCGAGTTTGCCGGTGAGCACTGGCGCATCCTCACAGTAACACCACGAGCTACACCTGTTATTCCTCCCGGTGCAGAGAGGGAACTGACACCCGGAGAAGGTGCACAGCCTGCCAGGAAGGTACGTGAGTGTGTGGCCGGAACCTGGCCCGTGTCTGTCCCTCTGCCAAGGGAGCCTTTAGGGCTCACTCCTCTGGAGCCGGGTAGGAATTCATGGCTGAATAATCTGACACATGCACGCCGCACTCCCAGCCCCCAGCCTCGCCAGGCCCAGGCAGCACCGCTCTGGCTCCGGCTCCGGCTCTGGCTCAGGCTCCGGCAAGCAGGGTGGAGGGAACACGCGGGGAGGAGCGGCAGGCACAGCCGGCACTTCACCAGCACAGGCTTTGACTGCCTGCAGGGCCTGTGGGACGCAAGGCGCAGGGAGCCGTGTGGAACTGCAGCGGCTGCCGGACGGGGAGGGCACCAGCGGAGAGGCAGGCGGGCTGCTCCGTGTACTACGGGGAGGAATGTGGGCAGGGTGCTCTCGGGTGCTGCCTGCTCCCCTTAATGAATGGCTGTTCTGTAAACCAGAGTTCCCAATGGGGCACTCTCCTCCCAGGGGACACCTGGCTATGTCTGAGGACGTTTTTGGTTGTTACAGCGAGGGAGGTGCTGCTGGCACTCAGCGGGTAGAGGCCAGAGAAGCCATTCAATGCCAGGACAGCCCCCCCACAGCGTCCAGCCCCAAGGTCAACAGCGCTGCTACTGAGAGGCCCTGCTGTAAATGAAGGTCCAGTCAGCGAGAGGATTCTCTGGTTCTTCCTTAGTGATTAGGCTAAAACTCTTCAGTACATTTGTATCATATGTTGCCAAAGAGAAAACTGGGGTCTTCACAATTAGGAACTATTTAGATGTAAATCATTTTATTCTATAGGAAAAGTTCTTGCTGGCAGAACCGTAAGTGCCGCTGGAGGAAACCTAAGAGCAGAAACAATAAGGATCCTCCATCATCTCTATGAACTGTGGTCCTTTTACAGTTACACATGGGAGCCATTAAGGCAGATGTTCCACTCCATATACTTTTGAAAAAAGTGTCACTTCATCTTATATACTTCTTTAGAGCACGATTCTGAGCAAACACTGCTACTGCACTGGGTCTAGCACCAGATGGCAATGAACCCTTCTGTATTCCCCTAAACCCCATTTTAAAGTTCTTCAACTTTCACACCGAAATGTAATTTTAAATTATTGTTAAATAATTATAAATACTTGTGTGACACCATCTTTGTTATTATAAATAATTATAAATACTTGTGTGACAACCATTTCTGTTAATGCTTGGTCCCCGGTTGGACTTCCTTAGATTCCTACAAGCAGAATTACATACCAACACCATTTACCGCTATTGATACTTAATACCAAGGTTCTTCCAGAAGAAGTCTGCCAATTTATACTTCCCCTAACAGCCACCCACTTAGCAACAGTTTTAAAATACTTTTTGTTTAATGTATGTACTGCCTGAACAAGAAATACTCAGGAGGCTTTAAGATATTAAAGAGGGAACATCCCTGGCTGACCTAAACGCTCAGATCAGCTGGCCTAGCAGGACTGATGAGAACTCTCAGCCAGCTCTCAGCAGGTCAATGCAATACTAACGCAAAAGCTGACGGGTCTGTCAGGGGGCGCCATCCTCTGGCCTCAGAAAGAACAGGGCTGAAGAGGCAGGACGGGGCCTGGGCTCCTCCCTCACCAGCTGTGTGCCCTGAACGGGAGCCTCCCCGCCCCATCGGGCCACGCAGCCATCTGTGGGCATAATGCGTGGCACGGATTCAGTTCAGTAAATGAAACCTGGACTGCCCAGTGCCCAGCCACGCACTGAACGCACTGCTGCCTCCGTCCACACAGGAGCTGCCCTTACATTCTCTCCTGTCTGTGTGAGCACACTGCACTGAGCGCGCCCCGACGTCACGGATGGCTCAGCTCCGCCACATCCATGCGCAGACCACACAGGGAGACTGTGCCACACAAAGCAGGCATGTTGGTGCACGAGCTGCCCTCCCCGGTGTGGAGAATGTATTTTCAGAAACGCTTTCTGAAAAGCTGTCTTCAGAAAGTCATACATATGGCTATTAGCTACGTGTTTTTAAAATCCAACACGATGCCCCAAATACCTCCCACTTCTACAGTGCTTTCTCTAACTCCCTCTTTGGGTGGTGGGGGTGGGGGTGGTGTTCTTTCCACTGACAAGACGGCTGAATGGCGGTCCCTGCCGGGTGAAGACACCGCGCCAGGCACACGGGGTACTCACAAGGCCGTGGTCCACTCGGAAAAACGCCATCTGACAGGGTTTATTCAGAAGATTAGAAAACGCAATGAAGGCATCGGCAGTGTCTAAGTTCAGGATCAGCACGGCCGCGATGAAGGACATGCCCTGCACCTGTGGGAAGGAGGGGGTTAAATGCGCCGCGGCCTGCACGGCCAGACAGCTCTCTCATTTCATGATGAGGAGCCCAGATGCCCTCGGGCTGGAAGCCACCCACCCACGACCTCCCCCAAAGCTGAGCGACAGCCTGGATTAGACCTGCTCTCGCCAGGAAGCCCTGCGAGGCCACATCAGCGGCCTGCCTGCTCTCACCCCACCCCACGCCCCCTGAAACACCACACCTGCCCCTGCCGCCGCATCCACCTGACTCGGCTGCCTCGTGCGTAGAGATGTGTGTCTATCCCAGTGATGGCGAACCTTTTGAGCTCGGCGTGTCAGCATTTTGAAAAACCCTAACTTTGGTGCCGTGTCACATGTAGACATTTTTTGATATTTGCAGCCATAGTAAAACAAAGACTTATATTTTTGATATTTATTTTATATATTTAAATGCCATTTAACCAAGAAAAATCAACCAAAAAATGAGTTCGCGTGTCAGAGGTGTCATAGGCTCGCCATCACTGGTCTATCGTAACGCGCTACACCTGGCACCATGCACAGGCATCGGCTTAGCGCATCCACAGCAGCACAGTTTTAAAACGGTTACTGCTAAAGGCTTTTCTTCATTTAATGCTGAGAAAATCACATGCAAAAAGCGAAAATCAAATCGAATGACAATGTGAGGAAGCCACAGGCAGCTGTGTCTGCCGGGTCCCTTACAGCAGTTCTCAACCTGTGGGTCACGACCATTGGAAAACACATATAGCATATCAGATATTTACATTACGATTCATAACAGTAGCAAAATTACAGTTATGAAGTAGCAACGAAAATAATGTTATGGTTGGGGGTTACCACAACATGAGGAACTGTATTAAAGGTCGTGGCATTAGGAAGGTTGAGAACCACTGCAGGGAGAAGCAGGCAGCTCGCTGCTGGGAGACTTCTCCTGCCCCACAGAAACAAGGGCATTCGCCTTGCCCTCCGCAGCGAAGATGTCCTGGCAATATCCCGACTTTCTTTTGAAAATGTAAGACACGATAAAATATTGAAAAGTTCACTTACATAGCCCACATCTGGTCGGTAACAAGTATAAGCGCCCAACACACTGTGCAACATGTCATGATACGGGCCGCCCTGAAAGGATCAAACACCAAAGGACACATGCAGTCTGGTTAGCACCCAGGACGGCCTCGGGCGCCGACCCCACCCCGCCCCCCGGAGTGCAGGGAGTCGTGGCCAAGCAGAGGCCAGCAGCTCTGCGTGTATTACGTAACTTCACAAATGAGCTACCAACCCAGTTAGAAGCGAGTCTGCAGCCAATCCATCTACCAAGCTGCTCTGAGAAAGCTGGTGGGTCAGGCCTGAGCCAGAAAAATACCCCTCCCCTAGCTCCTCCTGTATAATCACATCCCCTTCTGAGCTCAAGGGCAACCAGGTGCCAGGGTTCAACCAGGCAGGGCCGTGACCGCTGTCCTGACTGCTCCCAGCTGTGCTGCTCATCCTGACCCCTCCCCGCCCATCACGGCCTTTGTTTCTTCTACGCTTTCTGAGATGGTAGGTTGTTTAGAAAATACACTCTGCATCTTAAGTCCTAACAGCCTCCATTCTAACCCAAACATCCTCCCAGCTCTCCATGCGTTCCTGTAACGCCTTCTCAACATTTAGGTGTTGCAGTTTATCTTCTGTTGAACACAGAAGAAAGCAGGGGCCTCACACTGCTGTCCCGTGTCTGAGCTGTAAAGGGGCTGGCTCAGTCCACATCACACTTACTGTCCCCACCTTCCATGTGCCTAGTTAACATGAGGAATGGAAAGTGGACATGGGTCCTGGCCAGTGTGGCTCAGAGGTTAGAGCATCGGGCTATGCACCAAAGGGTCCCAGATTAGCTCCCAGCCCTGGTCAAGGGGCGCGCAGGAGGCAACCAATCCATGTGTCTCTCCCCCTCCCTTCTACTCTCTTTCAATGGAAAAAATATATATACTCAGATGAAGATTTTAAAAAAAGCATACATGACTAGGAAGTCATGCACAGGTAACTACCATAGCTTACAAATGAACGCCATGGCCCAAACCATCACATTCTGGCATAAAAAGGTGAGACACTTCCAGAACACAAAGGGGCAAAGAGGAGAACACAGCAACGGGAGGAAAAAAGACGCCATCCAGGACGAGAGGGCGGAAGAAGGGGGACAGGGAGGGGCCCACCTGAGGCGACATTGTCAGCAGCAGGTCCCATCTGGTCCAAGGCCAAATGAGGAGCACAAGAGCGCTGCACTGAACTCTGCTTAAAGCTGAGTGTTTTCAACTCAACAGATTCCCACCAGCGTGATTATGTCCTTTTCAAGGGCACTAATGTCCCCTCTTTGGTGACAAGGTGGTGCAGTCGCTGACAGGTCCCTATTTTAAACGCCCTAACTAGTTCTGGACGCCTCGCTGTGGCCCCGCTCTCCACCCACCCTTTGTTGCTTTCAGATTGCCCGTGTATAAAACCTAGAACTTTGGGAGCCACAGGCAGAGAAAGACACACCCACTGGAACCCGGAGGGAAGGAGAAAAGCCATCTGGTCCCAATCCCACCCAAAAGAGACTCCTAAGCTGCTCCTCCTCCTCTTTCTGCACCAAGATAATCCCCCGTGACCCCCGAAGTCCATGAAGCTTGATGCTCCACGGAGCACATCGGGGCCGGGCGTGGGAAAGGCGGACCTCAGCCACCCAGGCGTCAGCCCCTCAGGACCGGGTCAGGTGCCTGCTCGCCCTTCAGCCGCAGCGCTGCCCTCCCACTCTCCTCCAGAGCAGGGACAGTCGGAGCAGCCAGGCAGTAAGGAGGGCCCACAGCACTGAACTGCACGCCTCTGGCTGTCCCTCTAGCGAGGTTCTCTCTCCCAAAGGAGCCCCTGCCCGTCAGTGTCCGATGCTTCCATTCCAGACCTTCTGCCAGTGTCTCTCCACTCTCTGGCGGGCTGTCATTCACCCCTAGCCCAGCACAGCCCTAGAGCCGCTCCCCAGGGACGCCGATCTGACCCTCATCCCTGACCCTCCCCACGCTGCACTGCCAGGGAAGTGACCTTCACTCCTCTGCACTGTCACAGTGCCTGGGACACCCACATTTTTGCAGAGCCCGAGTGTCAAATGTCCACACCTCCTGCCGCATTCTAGGGAGCCGGTCCCTTAACTGACTTGTTCTAATAGAAGCGCTTCACTTTCCTGGTGCCTTGGTGCTGTGAGGTCGGTGCTAGAGGCCTGGGCGTGACAGTCAGACTGGGCACGGCAGGGTTAGTCTGGAGGCTGTGAGGTGACTGGCCAGAGGCGGACGGGTCGGAAGAGACGCCTGTATTAACATGAGACCCACCCTCCCCCTGCTGGCCCTCTCTGGCCGCCCCTCCACCCAAAAACCCAAGTTCTTTTCAACCTGATTACAATGTATGCAGATCAGCATCTGTGAATTTCAGACAAACATGCTTGAAAGCAACCAATCACCACCACCTACCTGCTGGAAAATGCAGAGGTTAGGGAATGTTCTAGAAATGTCCAGTTTAATCAGCTCCAGACTGGCTTCTCTGTCGGCTGCTGAGAACCCGGCATCTACCGAAAGACCAAGAGTCATGACCCCTCTCGGGGGCAGCGTGCGGGACCTCAAAGGCTCCGAGTCTTACAGGAGTGACCAGGGAACATGCTGCAGATGTCCCGGGACCTGGTGACAGCTCGGCCACCGGGGCGTAGAGCAAATACCAACAGCACCGGCTAACGCGAGACCGTCATGGGTACCTTCCGGAGTCTGAGGGAAGCCTCATGTGACACCGCCTTCCAGGAGCAATCAGGGGAAGCGCCGAGAACAAATGCATCCCAGGCACAGAAAGCACTGGGATCACGGTCTGACCTAGCACGGCCCTGGTATAACACAGGGTACACGGGGGTGTGGCAGCGCGACACTTGTGCGCCATTTCTAACAAACATTCAGGAATAACCTGGTTTCTGTTTCTTTTATTTTAGTATCACCCAGATGGTATAAAAGGTCAGTAAAGAAGATACCACTGAACCGACAGCAGTGTCACTCTGTGTGGGGGAGATTCTAAGTGTGACCCAGCAAACACGCAGTGCTCCGTCTTCAAGCAGCTCAGATGCTGCCCTGGACGCTGACGCTCAAGTGACCCGGGTTCCAGGCTGCCGCCGCCTCGTGAATGGGAACGAGGGAAGCACAGTGGTTACCACTGGCCCTCCAGTGTGTCCAGACACAAACACTTCTCCAGACCTGGAGTGTTTTCTTTCTTATGAAAATTTCTTCTTTAATTGTTTGCCCTGAAAATCCCTTTTCCAGCCCTTGGCCCTGTGGCTCGGTTGGTTGGAGCATTATCCATACACCAAAAAGTTTCGGGTTCAATCCCCGGCCAGGGCGCGTATGGGAAGCAACCAATCAATGTATCTCTCTCTCTCTCTCTCTCTCTCTCTCTCTTTCTCTAAAAATCAAGGAAAACGTATCCTTGGGTGAGGATTTAAAAACAAACCACCCTTTTCCAGGCAGCTGCTTGTAAGCTCGCACCACACACTGCCTCAGAGAAGCGACCTGTGTTGGGTGGAGCGGTGACCCACTGACCAAGCCGCTGCCAGCCCGCGCCCCACGTACCTTCACTGTCCACGTCGGGGCCGCCCGCGCTGAAGCACCGCCACCTCTCCTTGGCCCGGGCGAGGCAGATGTGGAAGAGCTCTGGAAGAGAGGCCCCGGCTGAGCACGGGCACACGCTCACGCTCCTCAGAACGCCAGGGGCACACACTGCCTCAAGTTCAACTACATACGGAAGGTCCTTCTGTTGTCTGAGGACACCAGCTGCCATTCACAGAGAGACCCACACACACGGCAGTGCGGGCGTTTACTTCTATGTACGGCCGCCAGGCACGGCTGTCTGGTTTGTGAGTCCGTCACTTGTACCATCTGTGAGCTCTTTGGCGTAAGATGGTCAACTTGTGGCAGGTATGGATTAGCCAGAAATGGAGCTTGGGGAGGTCACCTCCAACAAATGCCAGTGACACCCCCCCCGCCCCAGCTGGCATTACTCAGGCTGCAATCATGGGCGGATGACGTCTCCCAAGGTAAAAATAACAGTTACAGGAACCCCAGGTGCACAGAGCAGACACAAATCAATCTGCCCTAAACGCAAAGGCCTTCCATCGCTACCAGCAACTCCAGGCATTTACTGGGTACATGTAACACAAAGGAGATGAGGAGACAGGGAGGAAAAAGGAAAAAGGAAAAGGAAAAAGGAACAACTCCCAGTTATTAGGCGCTTAACTGCGAGTCTGCGAGCCCCTGGCCTACCTCACCTGTGCTGGGCACAAAGTTGGGGGAGCACAGGTGGAGGAGAGGTACACGCACACTGAATGAACGCACACGGCAAGACACAGACAGCCCTAGGAAAGGCGAGTCCAGATCTCACCTCCCCTCTACTCTGAAGCTACTAGAACCTCAAGCACCCAGCTGGGTGCAGTGTATTGTCCCTCTAGAGGTGCTTCCATATCAGCTGCCTGGGGAAAAATGCCACAGAAAACAGCAGCGCCCAAAGACAGCCCGCACCCCAGAGCGCAACCACGTGCCCCCACCGCACGCCGCGACCAGGCTGGCTCCCTACAGGTGGTCGAAGCTCCTGGAGGACAGGCACCTGGCCTCTCACAGCTTCCGCAATGGTGTCCTTTCTCCTGACAGCAGGACAGAGGGACAGGAGAAGCCACAGGACCTGGCCGGAGGGGACGGCGGACGGAGGGGGGGGCAATTCCTCGAGCCTTCAAGCGCAAGCACTCACCGTGGGTGATGTTTAACTCGTTGCCAATGGCTAAGCTCCAGACTTTGCCTCTCACACTGGGAGGGATCCCCTGCCACCACAGGTCCCGGACTTTTCTAGAGCACCACCTGGACAGAGAGGAAAACCAGTTTATGCAGCTGTTCTCTGTGAAGAAACATCTGCCACCTGGGTGCCTCCCCAACCACAGGACAGGGGATACACAGGGATGTCGCAGCTCTGCCCTCAGGGGACTCAGGTCCGGTGCCCACAGAGACCAGATCAGTGCGCTCTCCACGGGGCAATACTGCGGCAGGTGCGCCCGGGGCACTGCACGGGAGGGAGGGAGGGCAGCACAAACCAGAGGGTCTGCATTATCCTGAGCTGAACCCTCAGTAACCCGTAGCAGTTTAAGCAGACGAAGGGTGGGAAGGATCCAGAATGGACCTCGCTGTGCAGGAACGGCTGCTAGCTGAGCGGGGGGGGGGGGGGAG